TGTGTCTTGGAGATTAGCCTGCTGAGCCTCTTGTGGCTGTTACGTCTTTGACGTCTTGTCAAGCAGGATGCCTGGTTCAGTGCCTCTTAATTCTCTCTGTTCTGGTGTCATAGAAGAAGTGTCATTGGTACCTCTGAAGTGTGCACTGGGGAAGATTGGGGACTGCATGACCATCTGTTTTGCTCCCTGCACTATTTGTAGGTAGCTATGCATTATGCCATTCGCATATGATATGCCAATTTACAGGACAGCAGGTCTTCTTGTCTCTGTGCATCTTCCATTCCCTGTGGCTCTGACTTCAGTTCCTACCCATAGAGGAATAGCTTTTCAGGTGAGCAAAGTGCTACCGAGTGTCTCATTTGCCATTCTGTCATTTTAGAGTGGCAGATATGGATCAGGAACTGTATCTACAGTCTTTTATGTAGGTTTTCAGTTATTCTGACGTTCTTTGCCTCAGTAAATTAAAAGTAATGGAAGCTTGTAGCGCCACATCTAAACACATACTTCTTTGCAGCCCGTGTGAACTCCTGTGCCGTCACTTGGTGGCCATTGTCAAGGCATTTCACTTTGTCAGGTGCACCAAGGAAGATGAGTTCCATATATATATAATCAGCTATTTAGGGGGAATGCCTCAGAAAAGCACGTATCAGACTGCAGAACATGTACAGAGTTTTTGTCACTCAGCATAAAAGTTATCTAGGCCTCCCCTCCTTTTCCAAGAGCCTTCAGTTACCACTCCCTATGGGTGCAGTTCTTGTAGACCCTGTACAGAACATGCCCTGTCTGCTATGTGCCAGCCCAGTGCCTTAGATACTCCAGAGTGTATAAAGAGCTAGCTGAAGTGTAGTTAAGATGCATCAAGGTCACTAAAATGGCATTAAAAGGCAACTAAAACCTCCACAAAGCGTCTGTGCTTTCACTGCAGTCCAGGGAGACGTAGGGTTCAGTTCAGATGTGTCACAGGCCTTACAAGAGATCCAGATCTCTTTGGATTATTATCTGGTGACCAGGATATGACACAGCACCTGGAACTATTTAGTCACATAGGTTTAGCAATGCCTTTTGATATGTGAACATACTGTTTTGACATGCTAGCCATCCTGCAGTAACGTAAGGCAAACAAATCCTTTACCCAGTAGTGTAAGGGCAAATTATGCTCTAATCTGCGTTTACTATTCTGACTAGGCTCCATTGAGAGTTTGGATCCCTGGTTTACACTTGTCTAAATTCAAGCTAGATCCCAGTTTTAGATTCCCATGATGGTCAAGAAAACACCGTCTCAGCACTGAGTTTCAGCCATGACTTTCATTCCAGTGCCTCGAACAATGTTGATAGCACCGCAGTGGCTTGTACCTCTTTATCCAACCTAAAATCAAAACCATTCCATTTGCTTTCAGACTGTTTGTCATTTTGGCAGCTCCTAAATTGTCATCCGTCTTTAAAAAAATGCTCTGATGCCTTACTTCGAACAATTTCTCTGGGCTAGTGCTGTTGTTTCCCTCTTTGTCCATTCTGTGCATGCTGCGCTGCTAACTCCCGAAAAGTGATGAGGCTCATACATCCTTTTACTGCCTCACTGTTATTAACTTACCTTTTGCAACAACGTGGATGTAGGGAGCACCTTATGACGGGGTTTTTTGGACTCTGTTTTAGAACTATGTGTGTCAAGTCTCTTTTGTCTTTTGGTTCCTCTGTTTTGTCCTAGTCTTTCAAAATTGCGGTCTACCTTCCATAGGCTTTGGCCTGCGAAGAGCAATTTCCCTGGCTTTGCAGCTTCTAGTTTTACTGTCAAAGGTTAATAGTGGGTTTGTCCCAAATCCCAATCACAAACTTGTCCTTTATCTATAACATTCACAAGTATTGGCTCCTCAGCCTTTAATTATTTACACTTATCTTGTCCGTTTCTGAAAAGCTTTTTACTCTGTTATGAGCTTTAACTGCTGTGTTTTTCCACTCAGGGTTTTCTTAGATTGTGCTATTCATGCAATATGAATGTACCTTGCTACAGAATACAAATATGGCAAAGCAGACAGAAGCCTTTTGACAAGCTATAGAAAATCTGGGCTGACGATGCCAATTAACTGGAACCCAACAACTATTAACCCTCCTGCAAGGTGCAGACGTGGGTCCTAGCCAGGAAGCAAAGTATCCAATTAATGAAAAGTGCTCTAATCACTAGCTAGATCTAGAAAAAAGTAGGGATTTTTCCACAATAGAATTAATTTGGCTTTTGGTAGTGTTAAAATATAAATCCTGGTAACATCAGCAGGCAGACATGGCTTTTTTTGAAATGTCAACTACTCTCATTTATATTTAAACTAAAACCTGAAAATTAAAAATGGAGGGTTTTTTCATTTTTAGCAGACAAAAGTCCAGATTTTAAAAAAGTCAATTTCTCTTTGTGTTTTGAAATGAAAATAGTACTGCAGAAAGCATAAAAGACACAGGATGCAATGCTAATAGTTAATAAAATAGTTAATAAAATAGCAGTGTATTTCATTACTATTTCTAATAAGATAATGACAGTGCTAAAAATACTTTCCCTGTTCCATAAGAAGTTGTAGCTGTATTTGAATCAGTAAATGGACTAAAAAAATATGCACAGATTATGTTCTTAAGAGTTTCTTTATAATAACATACTATTTTAACTCTAACTGAAGGTCTGTCAATTTGCATCTTTAATTTAGACATTTATTACTTACAGGCTACGATGCACAATTTATATTAGGCTTCTTGGATGCTTTCATGTTTCAGATGTTCATGTTTCAAATTACAAAAAGGACTGTTAGGATGATCTGGTGCTTTCAAGGTGCTTTCTTTATATTTAAGTATTGTATGCAGCTCATCCAACCTTATTATAAGCCTTCAGGTACTTTTAAGATTTGGAAAAACAAGTGACTACATGGAGAATTCCAATGTCCATTAAAAAAAAATAGCTTATGTCTGGTTTGGTATCTCTTCTACTTGTTAATACCTACATTCAGTCATCATTGACCTCTCAGCTTTTTTGGATAACCCGTCTTTTGTCCGTCAGCCTGCCATGGGTGGCTGTGGCAGGCCCACTTGGTGCAACGAAACTATAGGAGCTACCCAAGTGTCCCCTTTTTCAGGAGTGCTGTGCAAGTGTTCATTTAGTTTCTGTACACCTGTAAAAAGGTTAGAGCTATGGGGGGGGTGGAGGGGGGTGGGGTGCTGTATGTGTTTCACACTGATGCAAAACATAAGCATATGGTTTGCTTTTGGGGGCCAGTCCTTACAACTGACATTTATTGTTGTGCCTTCTTTGTTAATGAGACACCTTCTTAAGGAATGCAGACTTGATAATTTTTCACCTTCACAGATACTACAAGAACAACATGCCCAAGATGCAAGAAATAAAGGAATTCCAAATGGTTCCCCATTATAAAGAGGCTGGGAGAATATATCTGGGAGGGGTGTGCTTGCCTGTTCTCTCAGTATCCCCTAGGTATCTGCTGTTGCCCTCTCTTGGAGACAAGGCATTGGAACAGAGGGACTTCAGGCTGACCCAGTAGAACCGTTCTTGTGGTCTTACATCCTTATTTACAATAAAAGAAATTTAGAATATTGATCATTTTATTAACTACATGGAACATAATTAAAAATAGCTTGGAAAAAAATGCAGGGTTTTTTAATTCCAGCAGAAAATCTGAGCCAGCATTTATATGCTGTTCAACAGATGGAAAAAAAAATGGACAGTATTTTTGTGAGTGACATATTAGCTGAAAGGTCATGACGTGTATAATGAAAAGAGCCATTAGGGTATGTCATTTTGCATGGTGTCATGAAACTATTCAATGACATTAATATTTCTACTCTAGAACATATTAACTTGTATCTAAGAAGTGATAGAGTGCTGCACATAGATTTGTCTTAGCAAGATCCTCTATCCTGATCAAACATTTAGATTTTAATAGGACTGCCCCAGAAAGTGGGATCAGCTTGCACTGATCCAGCTGCAGGGATATGGTCCATTAGCTCCTAGACATGACAACGTTTGGTATATAATCATGGTAAGATTTGACTAATGGGTAGTGCCATGTTCAAGGAAGTTGTTACATGCAGCTGGGTCAGTTGTGCTCACCCTTAAATAGGTGTAACATTATATAAGCAATGTTTACAGGTATCTTGAAAACACAGGTATTACTTGGGAAGTTAAAATATAATTGCTGTCATTATTCAATGTGTTAGCTCCTGAGGAGAGCCATCTCTTCTTAAACACTATAAAAGTCTTTTAGCAGAGGATATGAGTATATTAAAAGCTGTGATTTTTTCCACAAAGGTTTTAATCCAGTACAAGTAACCTTGCCTTCTTAATTGTCCTTATAGAATCTTGATGAACTTGAAAGTAGAGGTCAAATTATTGTGTGAGGTTTTAAATCCTATCTGTTGCATTATTTAAGCAGAATGGAAATGTTTCTTTTGGATTTAAGTAAAATATCTCTGTGAAAATACATTGTATAAATCAAGAAACAGCGACTTCTCACTGAAATTCTGCAAAGCTTGCTTGCACTATTGTGTTGAAAATCTTTAAGTTCTCTTTAAAAAGATAATCAAGCCACTTGACTTTTCACTCTACCAGTTATACAACCACGGGTTTTTTATTTTTCTTCATAAAGATTTTACAAAGTCACCGATTCAGAGAATGTTGCAATTCCATTAGTACAAAGGAAGAGATAAAAAGTGTAAAATAGTTTATATTTCCAGAAGCCTTACATAATCCTAAAGCCTTTGCTATCATTCTTTTAGCACCTTCAAAAGAGACATGGGCTGTAAAATCAGATTCACATTTCCATTTCTAATTGGAATTGACCCATCCTGGTTCAGCTCTATGTCAAGACTCAGATCTAGCAGAAAAAGTGATTATCAAAGAAATGGGAAGTCTTTCATGGCTAATTATAAATTTTGTCACTAAAGCAAGTTCTTTATAACTGCATTAAGCAAACGTGTATAGCTTACAGTGTGTGTTCTTGTTTCCACAGTGCATACATTATAACAGACTTCATGGGCATCAGGAATGAAAATTTTATGAAGGTAGCTGCAGTTGGGACTTGGATGGGAGATTTTGTCACAGCATGGATGGTAAGAAACATAATACTACATTTTAAAAGAGAAGGAATATGTCTGTTGGTTTC